ATAGTAATATCATAGTATAGCATGTTGAAAAAGTCATAGTAATATCATAGTATAGCATGTTGAAAAAGTCATAGTATAGCATGTGAAAGTCATAGTAATATCATAGTATAGCATATCCAAATGTCTTTAAAAAGTCATATTCTAGCAGTTCGTGACGACCCCTCTCTTCCACTAGGGGTCTGTGTCCTGTTTGCTGACTCTTTCTGTCTTTCAGGTTGTTGCTCGACAGCCGATGGGTCACACCTGAGCCCGGTGGTAGTGCAGCTATAAAGACTCTGCACCTGAAAAGTAACCGTGTCCTCTTCAGATGAAGTCAAATGCAGCAGAATTCCATAATTAAACACATACTAACTTCATTTTTTGGACAAATATACATATTGTAAACAAACTTCAGACTTTTTAGGATCCTCGCGAGCACCCCGTTAGTTCTTGAAAAATGTGCAATAAATGTCTTGAAATTTGACATGATCAGTGTGAACAGGGTTCTATTGAAAATTTCAGCAAAGCTTTGATTATGGATGTATTTGTTATTTGAGCCGACTTTCACTTTCATGACCAGTAGTAGAGCAGGGTCGTCCTTCAGTCAGAGGATTGGCGGTTCGATCCCCGGCTCCGCTAGTCCATGTCGTTGTATCCTTGGGCAAGACACTAAAATTGTTCCTGCGGTGTATGATTAGATAGTCCTGATGAGCAGGTGGCCCCTGTCATCAGTGTATGAATGGGTGAATGATGACATGTAGTTTTAAAGCGCTTTGAGTGGTCGAAGGACTAGCGCTACACAAGTACAGTCCATTTACCTAAACTTTGTGATAAGAGAAGACAAACAAAATACCACACACACACTCAGAACTGCAGTTAAGGGATTGTATTTGTAAAAACTTCAAGGTACCCAGCCATCATCTTCACTTATCACATTCAGTTTTGTGGCATAAGTAAACCGGTGCATGAGAGACTCTTTCAGATTGTGCTCGGTTTGCTCTTGCACAATGACTCACCAGGTCACAGGTAGGTCTACAGAAATGGCTGGAGATGTCTGACTAGCGGTGTTTATTCACAGCGTCTGGGCATTTGATTGGGCTGCATGTACGTTTCATCCCTTTGAAAGAACCAGCTGCTTGTTATTTGTATTCTGTATTTTCAAGCAAAGAAAGAAAAGGTCAAACGTATTTTGCTCGGCCTCATGAAGGGTGTGATCGGGTTTTGGCAAAGTCGCATCTGCTTGCAAATTATGGCTTGAATCACAGACTGCTCCAAAGGGGAGCATTAAAATGAAAACCCTGTAATCCACGGCAGCATCGATGGAAAAGAGAGAAATAAAATGTGGCAAAAGCATGATGGGACAAATGCAAGGCTTCAATAAAAGAGGAAATCACTTATAAAGACAGCTTTTTAGCACATTACAGGTACTCACACACAGATATTGCACTTTTCAAAGCATTACTACAGACAAAGAAAGCGTGTCACTCTGACAATGTTCTTCAGCAAGAGGACATTTTATACAAAAGAAATCTGGAGGAAATAGGAGATGAAAGAGATAAAGAGATGAGATTAGACAGTTTCCTGTTAGTTCCATGGAACTTGAAAAAAAATAAACAAGTGACATTCTCAAACCACAAAATTAGGTTGCAGAAGTTACTCTGCACTGGTAGATTTGACTGTTTCAATTGAAATTATGGAAACCTATTAGATGATTTCACACCTAGCTTCAATAATGGACCTATAGAGTACTCTACCGATTTACAATTACACTCGGCAGTTTAAAAAAAGAATATATCGCTATCGTCTTTTTAATTCCACGCATTCTTCTTTGTCCAAACCTGGCCTACATTACCCGCTCAACTGCCAAGAGTCTGGTCAGAGATTCAGGGCCGTGTCGTGTGTTGTAGAGGCTAAAGTAGCCTCAAGCCATTTGACCTTAACCAGAGGAGAGAGCTACAGAGGTCTGGTTAGCTCACTTCTTTCTAACTTAAAGTATTCAGTATTCAGTCCCAACCTACCCTGGCTCAAGTGCAATCTATCAGACATTTCACAGCTACCCCTCTGGAGCCACAAAAGGCTTTATAAAGCTCTTTTTCACATATACGGCAGGACTCCAAGACCTGTAAACAGACTGATGTGTAAAATCTGTGGGAGTCCCCTTTAAAACCTCTATGCAGACATTTATTAAAACTGATACTTTCACAGTACAGGCCATTAATAAACATTTTCCTACATCAACCTCTGTATTATAAAATTCCCGACACATTTGCTGAACAAGGCTCTGCAGTGGAGATGCCCGACGGTGGATTAACCCCTCCATGTGCCTGCATTTACGCTAACAAGGGGAGCTCTGACCAGGGGTAGTGCTGGGCTGGACCGAGCCCCGACCACAGCTATGTGGTTATTTGTTCAGCCGACCTGCCCAGAGCTAAATACAGACAGTGATAGAGGACGGATGGCAACAAGCTTCCACTGGAATTAAGAAGTGACTGCAAATTCTCTCTGGAAATGACTCTCGGTTATACATTTAAGATAATGTCAACGAGTGCTGTGACAAGTTTAATAAGACAAGCCCAGGCAAAGGTTTTTGAGCTAAGGTTAAAGGGTAGGATGTGAAGATTTTTTGATATTGTCTAGCATATTTATATTTGGAATGAGTTTATGTGCAAAAGCCAACAGAGCAAGTAACTTTCCATGTGAAGAAGAAAAAGAGAAACACTTTCATATAGAATTCATTTTCACAAAAACATGAGACTAAATCCTCGCACACCAACAATAAATACTTAATGCACTGACATACATAAATAAATGCCATCCAGAGATATGCTTTTGTGCTTTGATTGAATCTGCTGTGTTCAGTTTCACAGTCAGCACATTCAGCTGTGTACCACCGATGCAAAAGGAGAACCTGCTCCTCACAAGTGTGACTTTAATGTATGGCTCATTAGTTCTCAGAAGAACAAGGGAAGACTGTAACTGTAGTAGGCATGGCAGAGATGTTGGTAAGGCATATTTACACTAACACAACGACAACGTGTAACAGACTAAGTCTAAGAAAGTTTGGTTTAATTTGACAAAGTCATTTCTAGGTGAGAAATGGTAAAATCAAGTGAATAAAAAATAAATACTGAGTTCTAAGTGAACCTAAGGAATCTGTTTGTAAAGACAGGTAATGTGTCAACTGCATTTTCAAACTGCTAAATGTAAAAAAAAAAGGCACCATTTTTGGTGTTTTTGTTGCAGGGTCATAGTGACGAGTCAGTGCTCGTGATGGACCACTCTGCGCATGCATGGAAATTGTCCATGGCAACCAAAAAGTGCAAAATGATCATCACTAACAGGAAACCATCACACATCCATGGCACTGATGTCAATCCTCTTTTCTCTGCCCCTCATCGAGTCCTGAGGTACACTGGTGTGGAGTAGTTGAAGAGCAGGAAGTCCATTCGATACAGGTTGAACAGTTTCTTCTGGTAGAAAGGACTGATATGCTTGAAGAAGCGTGCTGCCATGTTGCCGTCAGTTCTGGTGCTTTTACCAGATGTTGGAAATTGAAGTGCCCCGTCCACTCCAGCCAACCTGAGCACAGCCTGAGCGTCTGGCTCCAGAGTCTCGTACTTCCCCACTACATCATAGTGGATCAGACAGGGGTGGCAGAGGGAGTGCACCCGCTCCCAGTGCTCGTTGAAAGGTTCCTCCCGTTGGGTCCGAGGGTCCACGAGATACTGCACAAACTCGGGGAAAGAAACGTCATTTCCCTTCTCCAGTGATTCGGGCTCCGGATCGGGCCGGTTCCGGCTGATGATCTTGGTTCCGTAACGCTTGTGGAAAGCCGTGTTGTAGCTACGGGTGAACTTGTTACGGTAGGCGGACACCAGGCGCTCGAAGGGCTCCCGCACAAAGATGAACTTAAGGTAGCTACGAAGGCGTTGATTGATCTCGGGGACCGTGAACTCAGAAAGTGTGCGGAGGTTACCCGCTACGTGAGCCTCGTTTGCAGGGATGGCAAGGGGGTTGATGTAGCGGCCATCACTGGAGAGGACCATAAGGACACGCTTCCAATTGGTGCAGGCTACCTGGAAGTGAGAAAAGTGAGGAAATACACAAACATTCATAAATACTGGTGCTTTTATACACTGTAAGAAACATGCATATCAACAGTCTAGTCTATAAATACATCAACTGAATAAGAAGAATATTCTCGTCTTGGTGCAACAGAATTTTTCAAAGTCTGATACTGTTGCCCGTCTCCCCCAAAAAGAAGCAAACTGCGCTCCTCACCCCCGTCCTTGTCAACAGGAATTTAGATTTTTCCACGGATTCAGTGAGTCAACAAATCAGCAGGCCAAACTTGCAACTGTACCCCTGCAGAGGTGCACCTCACAATTTGGAAACCTCTGGTCTAGAATATTAGCTGCGCTTCTTAATCTCATTGTAACCAACCTTGGGTACGTAGCAGTAAATAAGGCTGTGTTTATCATCCACAATGAGGTGTTTGAGATCCTCAGGTGAAAGCACTTGGCGCTTCCTTGTGTGGCTCAGACACGCCTGCTCCAACAGCTCCCTGCGGCCTTGGAGGGACCTCTGAGCTGCCAACAGCTCCAGCTTCTTGTAGGGATGTGATCAGGGCGATGCAGGACAAATGGACGAGAGGGCCCGCGTGGGGGATTGCGGGAGGAAGAAGCAGAAATAGAAAAATGTAATTTAATTACACTGTTTCAAGAACAATATACAGGAATGTACAGCACAAAAACAAGGACAGAGTTTGGCAAACATATGTTGTATTTGTGTGTGCGTTGGTGTGTTTTCACCTGGTCTCCATTGTAGAGGGTCTGCAGTGGACTTCTCCTGCTTTTCCCTGGTCTGCTTTCCGTCCTCTCAGCAGGTTCTACAGTTAGAAAGAACAATCCATGTGATAACAGCTGCATTTACTGATTGCCTATGTAGCAAAAAAAAACCAACACTATTTAATAGAGGAATTCTGCTTCTATTTTCTTTCCATCGCTCCAGTTCCTTTCTAACTTTACAGGATTTATGTGAAAATGTGAAATGAACGTTGTCACCACTTATACAGTGAACATTTTAAAATCTTTTCATGAGCCTATATGTAGTGTAATGAGAAACACTTTTTCACAGCATGTCATGCGTTTGACCAGAGGTTTAAATTACACTCTAAAGATGTCCATGTATTGGGAAGATCAGTCAGAGCCAACTTTCCGACACCCTTCTGGTTCTGCCTTTGTTGTGACGTGATCCGCCCTCCTTTCATTTATAGATTCCATAGGAACAGAGTGTTCCTTCCCAACTCTAACTCTTACGCAACTTACATTTCTCCTTTTAGGTCTCTCTTTGCTCTAGCTGCACTTTTCTTTTACTTAATCTGTTCTTATTTAATTTGACTTTTACCCTTTTCGGAAATCTATCCACAGCAAATTAACTGGAGGACACAGTACAACAGAAAAGTGATTTGGAGAATACCCATTACCAATTTATTTACATAACACAACCAAACAATGACAAATATGCATCCCTGATTGTCTGTGGGTAAGAACCACGCCTGGCTGCATAACATGCACTTACAATGATGGAGCTGCTGGAGGCTCTGCACGTTCCACAAAGTTGAGATATCTGGTGGTAGAGACCTTGTTATCGTCTCTCCTCCCTCCTCCAGCCTCTATAAACACATCTGCCTTCTACTCCCATCCCCCTCCCCCTCGGGCCTGATGGCAGTCAGTGTTTGGGTCTGCAGCTAATGGTACCGAGGGAGAAAAGTCATTTGTTTTGCACATGTGGCTCAAAAATGCATTGGGTTGCTTTACATTTTGTACAATGCTGGAATGGGATGGAGGTGTGTCATGTGCTTTGTATGTTAGCATGAGGGAATCTACTTGAAAGAGAACATATGGATTGATGGTGAAATACCAAACCATCATATGGAAAGCATATTAGTTCGCAAGAAAAATCAAGTTGACGGGCTATGCAAGTATGGAACCCAGAAAGAGACGGAGCCTTAGTCTCCCACTGGTGCTATTCCTTCTGCTGGGTTCACATTAAGCAAATAAGTCTGAACTTTCACTGTTTTGAAATGTCACCCAAATGTAATAAATCTCTTTGTCAACTTGGGACTCTAGTCTCATAAAAAACACACAAACCACAATTTTTTTTTTTTTTTATACAAACTCTTAAATCATATCTGCTTCCTGTAATTTTGAGGAAAAAAAAAAAAAAAAAAAAAAAAAAAAGGAGAAGAGCAGCTGTACTGGTGACTGAGCGACTGCTGCAAATATAGTCAAACGTGTGGTAGAGGAGGATCTGAGATAGACCGTAAGACTGAGAATGCAGTGATGAAGCCTCTTCCTGTCCTTCCTCTTTGCCTAAGCTCACATGCATCATCAAAATCCTCAAATTCCTCTGGGTGCATGTGTGCCACACCATCTGATCACGCAGAGATGACATCCAAGTCTTGCTGGACCATGTTGAAAGCTTAGCTTAATATTAGGGGTGGAACGGTACACGTGCTCGTCCCTCCATGGTTATAGGACGTTCGGTTCAGTATGCGACATCCTTTCGGCACGCCCCGTTACTGTCAAAATAGTCTATTAATGTCTACTACACGCACACAAGGAGCAGAAATTCTAGAGCGTTGGTTACCAAAAATGTTTTGGCAGCACACCAGTTATTGCTTATGCTAGTCGGATTAGCCCGGCAAGTGGAAAACAATGGAGAACAATTTGTGCCAAAATGTATGCTGACATTGTTCAACTGGAGTCGGGTTTACCTGTGGATGCACCTCAAACATTAAATTTACTATGGCATCACCTGAATGTGTCAATTAGCAGAATGAAACAAAGATAAACTGTACGGCAAGTCCTTCAACCTACAAAATGAGTACAGCCTCCTACTGCAGTATCAGACAGGGCCAAAGCAAACACATTCTCGCCCCAATGCCTCAAATACCGCAGCTTGGTCTTGAGCTTCCAACTCATAATGCTCCACATACCCCTGTAGCGTCAGTTTTAGCCATGTCAGGGACGGCTTGTCAATAACAGGCTTGTTACATTCAGTCTTTTCAAAAATAAACTTCACAGGAAGTTTAGGTTTCGGCAATAAAACCAATTAGTTAGGTGTAGGACAAGAGGTTGGTTAACCTTAACTTCACTGACCAACGACTCACGTGACTATCAAGTGGCAAATGAGTCAAGTGACAAGCTAGTCCTGTGACTAACCACTGATATTTCGCACTGAACTAGTTTCACACGAGACACGAACATGAGTCTCCTGGACGAAAGTTCTGCTAGTTGTGACCCATCCACCACTGCCCTCGCTGCCCTGTGTGGACTATCTCGCTCTTTATACCACATCAGTTGCTGGGAGTGTGTAATAAGGACCGATGTGTATTGAGTTAGTTGCAAGCCCGGTGCACCGCGTGCAAGCGCCAAAGAGTGCCTCCATGTGTCCATACCGAACCGTGACCACAAAACTGAGGTGCATGCCAAACTATGAACTTTGCATACCGTTCTACCCCTACTGGATATATGTACATACAAAAAGAATCTTAGGCTACGTATGAATATAGGACGCACAGTTACATCTTATTTATACATGCTATATTACATACATGATAAAGTATGTACTCTATATGTATTGCACAGCACTCAGAGTCAAAGTTAGTGTTGGATGTAATTTTGAGGAAGAGGAATGGTTATGAGAAGTCACAGAAACAGCACAAAGTATACCAGAGGTTTGAAAAATAAAGCCTCATCATGTATAGAAATCAGACAAGTTCAGCAAGTTCCAGGAAGAATTGAATAAAATGGATGAGGTGTCGAAGCTCTGTCAACAGCAGTGCAGTTCACATCTCAACAAGCTAAGCTGTCCACAAACTCAGGACGCTTCCTCGGGAAGTTGGAAAGTAGGTCAAGAGACACTTAGAGGCTCTGCTCATGTTAATGGTTTATTGTCCGTTTTCAAGTATAAACACTGCAGGATGGAGCGGAAACATGGGTGCTGGTGAGTATTCTTTATTGACAAAACTGGTTTCACTGGTGTCCGGGTTGTGTATACAAAATGAATACAAAGGGCCAAGTAACTTTATATTTGCCCCGAGAAAGTGTAGGGTAAAGATAATTTGCTAAAAACAGCGAAAAAAAGAGATTTACACCATTTGCCACTATGCCACTGCTTACCATAATAAGCAGTGGCATAGTGGGTATGATAATGAGTGTGATGCTGCTGCAGAGGTATAGGAGAGTGGAACGTTGCTAGGAATTGATACATGCCACTAGAAAGAGTCCGACCCTTTTCAATCACTGCGTCACTCCACATCTTTACACTACCACAAAGTTTCTAAGCTTTTGTGCTCATGCTTTTTTAATTTAAGGTTTTTAATAACTTAGCATAGCACAAAGAGGCTAAATGTATTTGTGATGTTAGAAGAACATCTTCTACTTGATTTTCTTTGTACTTATGCTTTAAAACTGGTGAAACAGTGATCATTTGTGAATATGATTGGCTTTTTAATTCCTGTGGGGCTGCAGCAAAAAGACACAACCACTACTATCTGGCTAGTGGGTTTAACCAGAGAATGTCACAAGGTTTTTATAGACATTTTTATAGCTATTGCTTGCAGCATGACTCTAGGGATGGTTGGGCGATCCCACCACATTGATCCAGACTGTTATCTCAACAGTAATTGGATGGATTTCTGAGACGTATTGTACAGACATTCTCTGTCCCCCTGAAGAAGAAGCCTACTGACTCCGGTAATCGCCTGCCCTTTCATATATCACCATTACCAGTTTCGCCAAGACAAAATGACATTCACATTCGCCTCAGTTGTGCTGTGTTTAGTACTACTTTGCTCATGTTGGCAACCTCACATGCTAAACTAAGATGGTGACCGTGATGAATATTATACCAGCTAAACATCCCGTGTCAACATTGTGATTTTAGAACGCTGATGCTAGAAATTAGCTCAAAGCACCACTGTGTCCGAGTACAGTCTCACAGAGCAGTTACATAATTATGGACACAACCCCTCAATTTGCGAGTGCATACATGGGTGTTAACCGGTAAGCATGTTGAGGGGCGGAGGGTGTCCTTTTATCTCCCTGACATGCCACTTGATTTGTAGGTCTGTACCTCTATAAACTTTACCACTATGCAGTTAAATCATCCTGCTGATCCTTTTCCTTTAATTTAAAAGAGCCTATAAAAAGGTATTTGTGTCTGCTGGCACCACAAGACATGAGCCAGCCTAGATGTTCTCTTCCATTAACAGAGATATCTTTTGCTGTGTATAGAAAGTTAAACTCAGGAATGCTTTTCCTATCCTGTATAATGCATCAAAGCTTTAACTTGCTCTCCAACCATCAATGTTTTCTCTGTACAATAACAAGTACATTCAGAGGTTACTTCACTCTGATCATTACAAACCACATCTTTCTTTCTGTGCTCTATCACATGCACCAGAAATACCCACTTCCTCTCAGACCCGGGAAGTGACACAACGCTGACAGTTAGTTAGCTAGAAGAGCGGAAATGTCCCCAGTCTTACTGCGCACACCAAGCAGCCCCATGTTGGACTTGGGTTTGTCAGGTTTAACAGCCTGTCAGCGGTGTGAATCATATTTTCCTGTGAACAGACAGTCAGGAGTAGGCTGGGTAGTGGCATAGCCTAAGGTCCTAGCTGGATTAGCTTAGCTTCCATCTCGGCTCTCCTCCTGAGGTGGTCGACTCCGCTTTCGGTGGTGTTGGGTTAGGCTCGTCTAGTTGGGTGGTCGCAAGATGCTGCGGGCTGTGCTCGTCTTACGGTCCCGTAACACTTTAACCAATCCTCACGCTTCCTTCTCCGATGTTCATGAGGGTATCTCTGTCATATGCCAAACA